TTAAAGCAAGACGCTGTGAAATTATTTCCAAAAAACATATTGGAAGTGAAGGGAATCATTATTATGAGTTATACATAGTCTTTAACACCATAACCCCTGGAACTACCTATTTAGATATCTTGATGATAAGCCCAATTCAAATTAGATAGAAGATTTTTTCCCTAAAAGTTAAAGAATGGTAGAGTTACTCCTATCTATAGATAAGGAGATACAAGTCTGCTAAGTAATTACGGCAGGGTTGGAAAAAACCCAGGTTTTTATGAAAAAGTCCAACCCGTCGGGTTCTTTTGGGTTTTTATGGGTTTTTTGGGTTTTTTCTGGCTTCTCGGGGGTTTTCGTTGTTTCTTCAAATTTGATTTATATAGTTTTTGCTCTAGCAAAAGTATACCAAAAGTTATGACTTTCGTTGTAAAATTAAAATGTCCTTACAAAATAAAGCATCAGTACACAGTGCACTGCACCATGCCTCTGGCTGGTCAACCCAGAAAATCCGTGTCATGCAGAATTCTACATATCGATAGGATTTTATAGGCTCGGCACATTCAATATGTCGAATTCTACATGGCACGGAGTCCCTGCTCAGGCCTCCACGCCAAAAGCCAATAGCGAACAGCCGGGAATTGGGGAATCATCGAGGAATCCCTGATATTTCCTGCGAAAATGACGCTCATTCAACTGAAAATTCGCTATTTTTGAAAAAACCCAATAATGGTGGGTTTTATCAACTGAAAAAACCCGAAAAACCCCACTGGGTTTTATAACCTGGGGAAATTCTATGCCAACCCTGAATTACGGACCAGTTACCGTTTTAGCAGCGCTTTCATAAATATTTGAAAAAATACAATACAAATGAATTTTCAATCATCTCAAACATGTTATTCTGCCTCAACAACTTGGGTTTCAAAAAGGCAAATCAATGACAACAAATCTAATGTGTTTAATGACATATCTAATTGTGGGTAGTTCAGAGTTCTTACTATATGCAGATGATCCAAAGATCTTCAAAATTTTTGAAAACGTAAATGATATAATATCTACAGAGGGATGTAGATAAAATCCTAACTAAAAATCAGTCTCAAAAATATTTCATGATGAGCTAATCTACCAGGAGAGTTTCTGGCCAAGTTGTGTCGCTTTCGAGAGATTCAACTTTCCATTTTTTAGCTTAGAAAAACTGTTTCAATCCAACAAAAAGCACAATATGTCGAATCAAAAACTAAAGGCCAAGTGAGTATTGCACATTTGAACGTTAGAAGCCTAAGGCACTAAGCTTCTACACTACAACTGGAGGTGATTTTTGCTCAGGAGGCTCCAGACATTTTTTGCCTATCTGAGCATTGGATGCAGCAGAATAACATCAAAATCGTTACAGGCTGATGAGGTTTCCTTCCAGATGTGATATCCAAGGGGAAGGTACCGCGATTTTTGCTAGAATGCTGCAGTCGCCGAAATGTTACCACTAGTCTTGTCTCAAAAGATAAATTGTTTGAATTCTCTGAGTCGTTCTATGAAAATAAGGAGTTAACGCATGCTAATAATCACAGTGAGTTTAAACTTTCTGGAATAATGAATTGAAATTTCCTTCTTGGTTTCCTCTTTGTGGAAAAGTTGATTTGAAACTTCAAACTAAATTTGGACTTTTTCTTACGTTAATGCATGCAAAAATGAATAAAATCTGCAAAAATCACTTGTACAAAAGTACTCCTAATGATCACAGTGACTTGAAACTTTCAGAATTTATGAATTGAAGTTTCCTCTTTGTGGAAAAGTTAATTTGAAGTTCATTTAAAGCTCCAAAGTGAATTTGGAAGATTTTTCTCACGATAATGCATGTAAAAATTATTGAAATCCCAAGGTTTGGCTGGTAAAGTTCTTTAGCATTCGACTATTCTTATATTATGACCCAGTAGGCCTAATTCAGTTGGAATCACATTATGCACCTGGCATCCAACAGCAAATCATAATTCAACCATTTCTCGCCGGCATTCGGTAGTGCCTCGCTGCTACACTTACCTTAAATAGTATAATCGTGCAACAAATGGGATCCTAACCTATTATGGTGGACGGCTTCCCCAGGGGACACCAATTACCAAAAAGAAATTATCAAACCAAGAATTGTTGTCCTGGATGTCAGTGAAACGCAACTTCAATTGGTAAAAAATGGTAATAATTTAAAGAGGAAGTTATTGAAAATATTTACAGCATAATGCTCAAAGCCCAATACCAAGCTTGCTCAACTAGAAGTAGCTTACTAAAGCTTTGATTTCTGTACCTATCACCCCTAAGAAAAACAGAAGGTAAATTCCTTTGGAATATGGAAAGTTTATAAGTGCATGAAGGGACTTTTCTAGAACCTGTGGCGTGACTGAAGGGCAGAATCAGAAGGCTAGAAATAGTTGTTGGTACTTACGAAATTTAATAATTTGTACACTAATCAATTACTAGAAAATTCGGTCAAGAATGCTCACGAAGAGCTATAAGGGTGATAGCTGGGTTATCATACAGGGAGGACTGTCGGAATGCTTTTGTCAGACTTGAGATCTTGACAATGTCATGTGTCTTTATTCTGGAGAATGTGATTTATGCCAAAACTAATATAAATAAATTTAACGCCAACAGTGACTATCACAACTACGATACACGCTACAGAGATAACTTAACTACTCCCTACTTCAGACTGAAAAAATGCCAAAATGGTCCAAATTTCCTGACGGTAAAATATTTTAATAAATTTCCCAAGGCCCTTAGAGATCTTCCGCTAAAGCAATTTAAAGAAGAAATAAAAACTATCCTAATTAAGTACCAATGCTTTTTATTCATTGGATGAATTTGAGAAGAGTGACCTTGTCTTGTTAGCCTTTTTAGTTTTAGGTATTTTAGACTTGTTTTAAATCTGTTGTAATTGTTTTGATATGTAATTTTATTTTATTCTATAATTGTTTTGTGAATGTCATTTTATCTTGTGACTTATCTATAATTCCATGTGTGTGGACATTTATTTATTATTGACTTGTGTAAGTTTTGTATTTTAAACATTAGCATGAATAAAGAATCTGAATCTGAACTAAACTTTAAACTGGAAATGCTTATGTAATTATTATTTTTTTAATAGCTTATTTCTCCATGGTAAATAGTCTACTGCCGAATGACGAAAATTAAAACAGATAAGAAAAGAAAGAACAAGCTTGTTTAGATTACCCTGGTCCCTTTTTTTATTACTTCATAGATGATGATTCATCAATTAGGTATATTGAGATAAATAAATCCTTGCTGAAATGCACAAAACATCAATAATTTCAGATTGTTTCAAAAATGTGTTGAATTGAAAAACCTGGAATAATTCTGATTTTGCGATTTGAGAATGATCATTATTCAAGCGGCAAAAATTGCCAAAACCATTAATATTATTTTTTTATGTACGTACAGGAATCATATGCATCAGATATTATGTACTGGTATTATAGACTATGAGATAGGGGCTGTTTAGTGGAGTCATTTTTTTTTGTCTGGCATTTTGAGGGCTGAATGTGGCTACTAAGCTGATGAGAATATGGGTGATTTTGATGCCTGCCTCCCGTTCGAAAATTTGCAGAAGAAAAAAATTGATTTACATGAAGATTTTTTTTTTAATCATCTCAAATTTTCTGGCTTCTAAATAAAATATTGACATTGATAAATAATTCACCCATGGAAAATACCAGATACTTTTCAATAGCTGAAAAAGTGGGGATGGGTGTCAACTTCCAAGAGAAAAGAAAAGAACCTTCCACAGAACTCTATCATTTACAAGAGTGTAAAACTTTATAATCACCTTCCAGCAACTTTGAAAGATATATCAGATATCACTCTATTTCGAAAAAAGTTAACAATTATCTTACTTACCCAAGCATTCTATACTGTTAATGAATTTCTGGACTTGGTATTTTGAACCTAATAAATTTAACCAGCTTTTGCAGCCTAGAATTATCGTGGGCGGGGTACTCTGTCCTGGGTGTTTATTTTATTTTCCTATCAGAGCACTACTGTACTGTTTGTTCATGTTTTATCTTATTTCTTAATATTTCTGTCAAGATCTAACCCCCTAGTTATTTAGTTATTATTGATTTTAATATTTTACAACGGTTTGTTCTTGTATTGTTTCTTCTCTGTGTGACTTATCACTTGTTTATAGTTTTTTTTTTTAACTTATTTATTAACTGTTGAAATTTAAAAATATGTATGTGTATTTACTGTGACAAGCATTATAGTTAGATGGTTTAGATTTTAGATTTTAGATTTAAGGATTAGCTTTGTCCATAATGATTATTGTATCTTTTGACAATAAAGCATGCTACTACTACTACTACTACTACTACTATTTTTTGTCTGGCAATCGAGAGAATAAAAGGTTTTGCTGTGAAAATAACGCTGAAAAATCGCCAGACGGTAATAACAGTTTGAAATCGAGTTTTCCGGCGAAACATTCTGTGAAGATTTCGAACAGGGGGCAGGCATTAAAACCACTGGTATTGTCATCAGCTAACTAGCCAGATTCATCCCTCAAAATGCCAGACATAAAAAAATGACTCCACTAAACAGGCCCTATCTCAGGGTCTACTACTATGTAGATAATATGTTTCGAGATATGTACTCAAATAATGAAATTTCAAATTTTTTTATGTCGAGATTTTGTGTCTAAATGATCATTCGGGACCTCCCAAACTCCATACACTAAAGTATTCTGAGATTTGAAGCTGAAATCTATAAGAAAAGGCACTGTTTGTCTATTAGCAATGTATGACTTACCATATCGAAGGTTTTGGAGAAGTTAGTATAGATAGAATCTTCAACCTGGCCAGCCTCCAAGGCCCTCGAGATGACTCGTTCATACACGTTGTTATAGATCGGCCACTGGTTTTCTTAGGTGTTAGGTGATTAATCAAAAATCGCTCAGACACGTCAATTTCTGTTTTTGTGTGTAAAATAAAATAATTCAAATACAATATATTTTCTATTTCCAGGCTCTAACAAAATTCCAATCTAGTCACAAGGTAACCACAAAGTCGGGAATAGAATCCGAAGAATCCCTCCTGAGCGAATCGGCAGCCAGAGAAACGTCCCTCTACTCTCAAATAATCGAACTCGAAAATGACAATAAACAACTCCGCCACGAATTGGACAGAGTCACAGCGGAAAGGGACCGCATGCTGCAAGAAAACAACGATATGGGCAAAGACAAGGAGGACAGAAGCATGGAATGTAAAAGATTACGGACCGAGCTCAGAGAAATTAAATTTAGGGAAAACAGATTGATTCTCGATTATTCAGAGTTGGAAGAAGAGAATATTGCTTTGCAAAAGCAAGTTTCTTCATTGAAAAGCTCACAGGTAATATTTTATTTTTTTTTTAATCTGATAGCTCTGGGAGTTAGTTGGAGCTATAAGCTTTTTAACTAGTCAGATGTTTTTAAAAAATTATTAATGTAGTAAAAATAGAAGGAAGATCTTTATGTTTTCTAACTAATCTCTTGAGATAAACGTCGATATAAAAATGTTCAATTTGTTAATTTTTTTTTGGAAAACTATTACCCCAGAAAAAAAAATTAAAACTTTTGAAGTGAAAAGGGGACATAGTTAAATAAAGCATATAATATTTCAGGTTGAGTTTGAAAGTCTCAAACACGAAATCAGGCGGCTACACGAAGAAATGGACCTACTCAATTTACAAGTCGAAGAGTTAACCAACCTCAAAAAAATCGCGGAAAAACACATGGAAGAAGCTCTCGAATCATTGCAAAGCGAAAGAGAAGCAAAGTATGCTTTGAAAAAAGAACTGGACCAACAAATCAACAGGGAATCATTTTACAACATTAACAATTTAGCTTATAGTATACGAGGCATTACTGAAGAGACAGTGTTGGGCAGCGATGGAGAAGAAGAAGGCTTGAAACACATTGAAGCAAGTTTGTCCAGCGGAACTGGATCCGAACTTACTTCTCCCGATGATAAACACGTGGATTTGTTTTCGGAAGTGCATATGAATGAATTGAAGAAATTGGAGAAACAACTTGAAGTATTGGAGAAAGAGAAAATCAATCTTAACCAAGGACTTAGAGAAAATCAAAGTTTAGTTGAAAAAAGCCAAGGAGAATTACAAGTATTCATGGCTAGGTTGACGCAGTTGGCAGCTCACGTAGATTCATTACAGCACTTGTCAAATAATTTCGACAAAGTGCTGCAAAAACCATCGGAGGAAGCTACCAAACTGATAAGCCAATATCAAAACTGGTTCAAACTATCCAGCAAAGAAGTCGATCAGCTAAAAGAAGACATAAAGCAGCTTGAAAAACATGCAAACATTTCCGATGCAACTTTAATGTTAAGAAACGAAATAACCAATGTGAAAAATAAACTATTGGATACTGAGCAAAAGCGAATGGAGGTTGAAGGAGATTTTAAGTTGCTCACGGAGTTTTCTAAAGAAGCGGGGGCCTCTTTGGAGGAGACCCAAAACAATATACAAACTGTGACTGAGGAATTAGCCCAATTATATCATCACGTGTGCACTGTTAATGGACAAACACCTACTAGAGTTGTATTGGATCACGAAAAGGAGGGCATGACACCAAGTAAGTACAATTTGCGTCATTTTAAGTTTAATTTAATAACTTTTTTTTCTAGTGACCGAAACAGCTCCAATGATGATTGGCGAAATGAGCAAACTAGAATTATTGAGAACTCGCCTTAAAAGTGACGTGCCCATACACGATCTGGAAAGTCTCAATGATACCGCCACTCTAGCTAGAAACGTGTGCACAATTGTGGATCAAATTAAACATCTCAGAACCGCCATCGAGAGTACCATAGAAAAATCCAAAAGAGAAAAAACTAATGGAACTTATGAATGTAATAATATTTGTTTATTTTTTTTTTTGTGTTTTATGTTAATTTGTTTTTCTAGCTAAAGATGAAAATAATGAAGAAATCCAAGAACTGCAAGAACAAGTGATCAGACTCAAAAGTTTGTTGTCCACCAAGAGGGAACAAATAGCCACATTGCGAACCGTCCTCAAGTCCAATAAAAATACTGCCGAAGTTGCTCTGACCAATTTGAAGAGCAAATACGAGAATGAGAAAACAATAGTTTCGGAGACGATGATGAGTCTCAGAAACGAGCTTAGGTTGTTGAAGGAGGATGCTGCTACATTCTCAAGTAAGTAATTTTTATTTTTATTCGTTAGGTTGTCTGGTTTATACAAAAATACAGAAAAAATTATTAAAATCAGCTGAGAAAAAAATTCCGAAAAATTACAGCTTCTGAAAAAACTGTAAGTAGAACAGTTGGAGCGATTATTATAGAGCTTTCATACCATGTAAATTACAACAATAAGAAAATAAAGCTATACAGTCAGGAATAAATACAAAAAAACTACAGAAACGCCAAATCTTCAATATAATAATAATAGTAAGTGGCTTTATTGTAATTCACAAGTTACAGACACAAAACAGTTAGCAAATGTTTAGGAATCACAAATCACAAATGGCAAAGTTGAAGCACAGCTTCCTATCTCCTATCTCAACCAAAGTATATATAGTACAAGAATGACAAAATCAACTACAGAGTATTACTGTTGATTGGTATTTTTTTCAATGATAAGTCAGTCACAAGTCATAAAGACTAGCACAGCGCTAGTACAAAGAAAAAATACAGGATTTAAAAAGGTAAAATGTACAAAGTATACTACTAATGCTAATGAAAATGGATAATGTCAACCACATTTATACAAATCAGAGGGACAATCAATGGGGTTGATCGTACACGCATTTTTGATATATTATGGTAGCTAAATGATCTTTCATACATGGATGTAGCATGCGTGGGGAAAGTTATTGTAAATTTATGTCTAAGCTCCAAGTTGTGGGCATCATACTATACTGAAACTCAATTTTATCACACAGTTAGTCAGGACATCTTTCACAAATCAATTTGTTAAACAGAACCAAACTATACAGTGCGCGTCTTTCATTCATTCTTAGCTATTTAATGTCGCATAACTTGGCACTGACACTCCTCTCACGGCCCCTAATACCATCCATCAACCTGACACACGAATTCTGCATAAGCTAAATTTTTCTGGCATCCGAAACCAGCAGACAGGGCCCAAACAGTACATCACAGTAGTTAGGTCGATAGACATTGGAATCGCACAGTACTTTCCTAAGATTCTCATTAAATAGGGCGCGTTGGTTAAATATTAGAGGTTGGCAAAAGATATATTTTTTAAATCACTTTGCTGACTCCAGAGTATCTGCATATTTATTCTTAGCCCTTTTTATAACTCGGTAAATCTATCGATATTTGTTAATTTATAATTATTTTTTCAATTTTTCTAGTGGTTATTTCTATTTTTGGGAAATAGTTCATTTTCACAATATAGGCCAAAAAAAAATTCGAAATATGGAAAATCTAACTGTACTATTCTCTAGATAATCGATCAAGGAATGTTTATGCCAAATTTCAGCAAATTCTGATGTGCAGTTTTTTTTTTGTAGTCTAAATCCGATTTCTGTAAAGTGTGTTTTTTTTTTTTAAGATAAAAGTCAAACTGACATTATGTTGGCAATACAATGTGAAATTGTCAATGCTTTCAAATTTTTTATGTAGAAAAGGCTTGTGTTGCCAACATAGTTACTAAATTTTTGACTTGGGGAATTATCTTTAAAAAAAAAAACAGATTTTATTTTGTATCGTGTGCATGGGAGCGATGTTGCCTCCTTAAGAGAATTAAAATACCTTTAAAACAAGGTATCACATGACCCATAGTGCCATTCAAAATTTTGAGGTTAGGGTAGCTACGGCCGGAAAGGGTGATTCAGGGAGATCTGAAAAGTACCTTGTTCTGGTTTCCCCTTCCAACCCTCCAAACGGGTTTTTCACTTTTTTTTAATCGATTACCGTTTTCAAGATATAGGCCATTGACAGTTTTCGGTGGGACACCCAGTATATTGAACAATACTGGTCCAATGACTGTACCCTGGGGTATTCCACATTGGACGATTCCAAGATCACTAATTTCACTTCCAATATTCACATGTTGTGTACGTGCTGAAACATAATCAGAGAAGACCTTCAACACCAAACCCCTCACCCCATACCCCTCCATAACACGAAGAAATAAGAAATGCGAGACGGTGTCAAATGCCTTCGCTAGATCTAAAAATAGTGCAATACACTTTTGGCCCCTGTTCAAGCATGTTGTGACAGTATTTGTAAGTTCATACATTGCTTTTGTGGTACTCCGACCCTGTGCAAACCCAAATTGATTACCAGACAGTAAATTGCCACATGTGAGATACCCAACCAGTCTTTTTTTGAGGCACTTCTCAAAAATCTTGGCAATATTTGGAATTACACTTATTGGCCTATAATTATTGATAAGATTCCTGTCACCAGCCTTATGGATAGGTGTAAGCACTGAGACTTTAAAGTATGTGGGTATTTGACCTGTTTCAAAAATGATATTTATTGTGTACAGGGTGGTTGATTTTCGAAAGTTTAATAGGGTATGGCCAAAATGGCCGAAGATACTGAGAAACTGATATACGCTTCCCGTCCTCTTTTTTAGTGTGTCATTTGATGGTGTAGTCAGATCTTGGCCGACAAGATTGGTTTGCGAGGTACAGGGTGTTTTTCAAAATCAGCTGTTTTTTATAATCCACTATAACTTCTTACCCTACGGAGATATAGAAAAAGTGCGAAAACGAAAAATACGTCTTTTTATAGGTAGAATCCAGTGGCGTACTTAGAAAAAATATGGGGGCTTTATCTTCTGAGAGATTCGAAAAAACAAAGATTTTTCAAATGGAACACCCTGTATATTATTGGTTCAGTAGTTTGAGAAAAAAATTGCCAGTACAACGATGTATAACACATGATATTTTGTTTTGGCCTAAATGGCGAAAGCAACAAAAAACACTTTTTTCTACAAACGTCACTAAAAGTGTCATTTTTAACGGATGCTGTCAGTGTCTTAAATGTCATTTCATGACACTGGTGTTAAAAGTGATTACTTTTAGCACTGAGTGCATAAATATTCGGTATGTCCTACGACTATTTTGGCTATGAAAGGAAAAAAATATTGGGAAATCCTCTTCAAAAAATTGTATTCACCTATTTTACGTCAAACCAACCATTTCTACTTTATACGTCACGAAAACAGAGGGTAGCACCCTTTCTATCTCGACCTGTGCATATAATGTTCAACGAATCACTACAGGACGGTATATTTCCAGACTTCTGGAAATCAAGTTTTGTAGTACCCATTCACAAATCAGGTGATTCAGAAAATGTGACTAATCGCCCTATAAGTATCTTCGATGCTATTCCAAAAATATTTGAAATTATAGTCACAAAATTCTTAACATCTTGCCTTAGACCTGAAATTAAACACCAGCAGTTTGGCTTCAAAAAAAAATCTTCTACCCTACTAAATCTTCTCACTTATATCTTATATGTTGTTTTATATGGATATCCTGAGAGAGAGATGAAGAGGTACACTCTATTTACACCGACCTCTCCAATGCGTTTGACAGAGTGAACCACGAAGTTTTAATTAAAAAACTAGAGACCTTCGGTGTTTCAGGTTCTCTCCTACAATGGATAGAGTTATGTCATAGGTAGGACTCAAATGGTACACCTTAACAACTTTACATCTTCTCAAATATTAGTATCATCAGGCGTCCCCCAGGGTTCGCACCTGGGCCCCCTTCTATTCAACATCTTTATCAATGACTTTTTATCTGGTTTTAAGCATAGTCTTTTTCTTTTGTTCGCTGAATACTTGAAACAGTTAAGAATAACCTCTCCAGACTATTTACTGCTTCAAGAACATCAAGACAGATTGTCACAATGGTGCCATGCCAGTTGCCAATGGCATGGATTTTGACGTTCTAAAACTCAATTATACGCTGACGAAAAGTATAAGAGATAAGATAATTGAGAAAATGAGATTTTTTTTTTGGTGCCACGCTCCTTTTTGAGCATTTTAACGTACTTATTTGATATCGATATTTAGTTAAAAATAATGGTATTTTTTTCCGCAACAAATTCACTGTCCGCATCATTTGTTTAGGTAATTTTCTAATGGCCGGTATTATAAAACACTAAACCGATGATTGAGTTTCAACCTTCGGTTGACTCCATGCAAATTGATAGGATTCAACCGAAGGTTGAAACTCTATCATCGGTTCAGTGTTTTATAATACCGGACCTAAGTCAAGTGAAATTCAATTCCGTTGAATGTAATGAAAATGTCAGCCAATTTTTCACCGCACAGCGTATTCATTGAAGGTCGTTACTCAAATAGGTAATCACTAATCTTTCATCAAAATATATGTTTTATTAAAAATACCTACAGATATAATTGCACAAATTACAAGTTTTACAAAAATAGGAACGAAAACCCAATTTTTTTCCAACGGGACAGTCTAACAAAAATAAAACTACAAAATTGTAGAACTGCTTAGGTAGAAACAAAGGAAGTAACTTCTGAGTCTAAAAAAAATATTTTAAACTGTTACTACTGGGTCCTTATTCTTGAAACATGGAAGCAGCGTTCCCCGGAGAACGAGTGTTCCGTCTTTGTTCCTTATATTATTATTTTCATATCATTGATAAAGACTGAACACTCGTTCTCCTGGGAACGCTGCTTCCCTATTTCAAGAATAAGGACACAGGTAAAACTTAAAATAGAAAAATCATTCATAAACATAAACATTTTAGTCTCAATCGAAAGATAAATAATAGTAAAGACTAAAGACCAAACACTTTTTTGTTAAAAATATAAAATAGGAACTCTCTTGCACTTATTGCAAGATACACACCGTTGCCAGACTATAAAATAAGTACGTAACAAATTTTGAAAAAATGGAAAAAAGCGATATGATTATGTACTCTCTTTTACTGCTTTCTTGTTCAAAAGACTATTTCTAGGGGAGGGCAAATGCCCCCCCTTGCCCCCCCCCCCAAACGACGCCCATGGTGTTATACTGTAATAAATGAGAAATTTATTTTCGGTTAGAAGGATTTTATAGCGGAAAAATATTAATGTTTTTGACTACATATTGCTATCGAATACCGTTGATAAGCCTGAAACAGGGGGCGTGATACTCAAAAAATTCTCGCCTTCGGCGGTGATTTTTTGGCGGCTACCCTTCCCTGTCTCTGTCTTATATCCAGTTTTTTTTTCACAAAAAATATGATCCCCCCTTCATGAAAAGGGCCTCGCAATTCGGATCTCGCCGACGTCCACGTTTGGTTTGGCTACGCCACTGCTCCGCCTTCGGCGTCGTGTCCCAAACTTACCTTTTCACAAAATAAAATGCCATATAATCCAAAAACTTTTCTCTAAAATGCCACTTTTAGCACTTATATCATAAATAACTATTTTCAGTATTTTCTACTACCGTTCGTAAAGTACTCACTTCACGCACTATTCAGAAGACGTAAAATTTCACTTTACGCACTAGTGTGTAAAGTGAAAAAAAAAAAAGAAAAATTTCAGATTTTTTTTTTTTGAAATTAGTCCGGAAGGAAAATTCCGGAATTTTTCTTTTTCGAAATTTATCCTTCAATAAGCATCCAAAATTTTTGTTCAAAAATATTCCTGAAATAAAATTCCAGATTTTCTTTTCTTCGATTTGTTCAGAAAGAAAATTCCAATTTTTTTTTCAATTTTTGAAAGAAAATTCTTGAATTTTTTATTTTTTGAAATTTTTCCTGAAAGAAAAATTCCAATTTTTTTATATTTTTTGAAAAAATATTCCAGAATTTTTTTATTTTTTGAAAGAAAATGCCAGAATTTTTCTTTTTTAGAAATTTTTCATTTTTCCTTTTAATTTTAAAACTCTGGAATTTTCTTTCAAAAAATAAAAAAATCAGGAATTTTCTTTCAAAAATTGAAAAAAAATTAGAATTTTTTCTCAGGAAAAATTGAAAAAAAGAAAATAAAAATCTGGAATTTTATTCCAGGAATATGTATTATTGAACAAAAATTTTGGATGCATTTTTGTAGGATAAATTTCGAAAAAGAAAAATCTGAAATTTTTCTTTTATCGAAATTTTTCCTTCATTTTTTTTTTTAATTTTTTCCGAAATAAAATTCTAATTTTTTTTTTTTTTCCTGGAAGAAAATTCAAGAATTTTGTATTTCCAAAATTTTTTTTTTAACGGAAATTCCAGAATTTTTTTGAAAGTTTTAGAAATTAATTTGTCATTTTCCTTCAAAAAAGCATTCAGGATTTTTTTTCAAAATTTTTCCAGAAATTAAATTTCAGCTCTTTTCCCTGAAAGAAACATTGCAATTTTTTTTTATTTTTTGAAAAAGAATTTTTTTTATTTTTTGAAAGAAAATTCCAGAATTTTTCATCTTTTGAAAAAAAAAAAATCAGATTTTTTTTTTGAAATTTGTCATTTTTCCTTCAAAAATGCATCCAGATTTTTTTTTTTCAAAAATTTTCCAAAAATTGAATCCCAGATTTTTTTTGCTTTGAAAATTTGAAAATTCTAGATTTTTTTTTTGTTTCTAATTTTTCCCTGAAATAGTTATTTATTCAACAAGTGTGTAAGATGTGATTGTCGCACTCGCCTTCGGCTCGTGCGTCAAAATTCACATTCGTGAAAAAAGGTGCTTTGCGCACGTATTGTATACAAATTTTTTTCTACTACCAATCAAATATGTGTTAAAAAATAAATTTAGACAAATACATACTTTACGCACTAGTGCGGAAAATATTTTCACTTTACGCATTGGTGCGTGAAGTAATTTCCAGAAAAATACTAAATTGACAATGTCGACATCTGTCATTGACATTATTTCAGGCGTGCGTGAAGTGAAATTTTACGTATTCTGAATAGTTCGTAAAGTGAGTCCTTTATGCACGATAGTAGAGAAAACCGTTTTTTGTTGCTTTCGCCATTTAGACCAAAACAAAATATCATGTGTTATTATTATATCGTTGAACTCGCAATTTTTTTTCTCAAAATGCTGAACCAATAAAATAGAGGGTTTTCCATTTGAAAAGTCTTTGTTTTTTCGAATATCTCAGAAGATAAAGCCCCCATATTTTTTCTAAGTACGCCACTGGATTCTACGTAAAAAGAGACGTATTTTTCCTTTTTGCACTTTTTCTATATCTCCGTAGGGTAAGAAGTTATAGGGGATTATAAAAAATAGCTGATTTTGAAAAACACCCTGTACCTCGCAAACCAATATTGTCGGCCAAGATCTGACTACACCATCAAATGACACACAAAAAAGAGGACGGGAAGCGTATATCAGTTTCTCAGTATCTTCGGCCATTTTGGTTGTACCCTATTCAGTGATGTGAGTCATGACCAGCGCGCATGACGGAGGGTCATGACGGTCATGACCGTCACGTCACATTCAATGTGACCGTTGGTCATGACCATTTTACCGCATAGTGTGGAAAAATGCTGTAAAGTAGACTGCATAGTATTCGGTAAAGTAAATTCGGTGTAAGTACACTCAAAAATCCCTTATCGTTCAGAAATTTCAATAATGCTTCCTTTGGGAGATCGAGATATCCTCATAGAAACTTTGCTCATAGGTATAATTTTGTACCTAACACATGCGCACTTAACGACTGCTGTTGCGTGCGGTAAAGTATCACTTACTGCATTTGTTAGATGAATAACTATCATTTTTGTTATTTTATTTTACCTGCTAGGCTAGGATAGTTTTTTTCACCCTTTTTGTAATTTGTTGAAATTTTTTTGTTCTGAAATTCTTAATAATTTGTCAAAACTTTATAATCAATAATTGACTATCCTTATTTTAAACCCATTTGTGAGTTAATGGACGATAGACTGTAGGTAGTGGCGTTTTAAATTGAAATAATGACTATAAACTATGATCATGGTCATGACCGTCATGACGCAAATGACCGTCATTTTACATCACTGATTATTAAACTATCGAAAATCAACCACCCTGTACAGGGTGCTGCAATTTGCAGTGTTTCAAAAGGAAAAACATACTTCCAGACCAGATAGAGGAAAATTGACTTAGGTGTCATGGGATCGATTTTTGAGGACCGTCAATTGTCAAAAACCGTATCACGATATCTTCAATGGTACCATTGACACAGGGCGATTTTCGATTTTTCCCTATTATGAAAAAAGGCTATAAGTTTTTTATTTATCAATTTTTTTTTATTTCTGTAAAAACATTATGGAGACACCTTTTTGAGCACAATCCAGTGGCGGACTCAGTTTTTTTCTATATCGTTCCGATTTCGAGATATCGACCAAATTCCGATATATTCAAATGAAACATCCTATATATTATTAGCTCATTGGATAGCTCTGTTTTTGCTGATTTCAATGATGTAAAGTTCGATAGGTTTATCTCCTAACAGTTTTCGAGAAAAAAAATTAAATCCAACAGACCAAATAGGACGGTGGCGCTAGGCGCGCATGTGACATGCAGTGTGCTGCGCACACTGAATGTTAGTTATAAGTCATGTCCTTAGTATTAGTGAATGTTATATGTATTTTTGTCTGAGGGGGGCCTGACCCTCCTCCCCCCATATGTAACTAGAATTTTTGAAATAAAGAGATTTTGAGTTTGAGTTGAGTTGACTACATGGGAAACGTTGATGGTAGACCGGGTTCGAATCCTGGCCAGATCGAAAATTATTTTCGGTCGGACATTTAGTGGCTGCCTAGGGTAAAATGCGAATTAATAAAACAACAGCAACAAAAACACCTCAGGGTATTATGAGCGGGCGTTATGGATCATAATGTCCTCAGGTTGTTATAGGTATCTATGTTAACGTATTTCGTTTCCTAGGTATTATGGATCTATAATAGTTTAGTAAAAAATAAAAAATTTAATGACAATGTACTTTTAAACTAGTTTCTGTATTGAATCTGTTTTAGATACAATTTTTAAATTAACACAATCTTACAACACTAAAAACTTTTTTATGCGTCGAATCACGTATAACATTTTATCTCGAACTTCAATAAGTATACTTTTTTTCCAGGTCTGAGAGCGATGTTCGCCGCCAGATGCGAAGAGTACGTCACTCAAGTGGACGAACTGCAGCAGCAACTGACCGCCGCCGAAGACGAAAAGAAAACTTTGAACCAGCTCCTCCGATTGGCCGTGCAACAAAAACTGTCCTTGACTCAGCGTCTCGAAGAGCTCGAAGTCGATCGCGAGATACGAAACGCTCGCAGGCAAAACAACAGAAATTTCCAGAGAGCCGGCAGATCGAACAGGGATAATTTGTTTTAGCCAAGATCGAGACCTAGACCTGTCCTCTATGCCATTGCATTTATTAATTCGTTTTTTAAAATTTAGAAGGAATTTTGAATCTTTTGTATTATTGTATTGAATAGGTTTAAGTCAAGGTCTGAGGTTTTAGGTAAATTTTAGGCAAGTATTTTTTTTTTTCGGTGGTTGGGTTACGTTGTAAGACCATCTGTGTTGCTTTATTTTATTTGATGTTTATTAATTACGGGTTTCACAGCGTAAATGTAGTCAAACCGAATTAGTAAAGTATTCAGGTTGTGACATTTTCATAGTTTTACCTTCACATAGTTTCATAGAGTTTTTCATTTTAGAATGGACTTTGAGGTAAGGTGGAATTCAACTAAGAATTCAACCTTAACTTCAACCACAACTCTGAGCGAACTTAACTTGATAAGTATTCAATTCAAATGTTGATTTAACTGACTACGTTTACGCTATCTGAGTGTGTTTGGCAAATAATTTATTTTGCCAAACTAATTAAAGGGCCAAAACAAGTCATAAGAAAATTTAAAATTAACCTTACATATGAATGAAAAATACATATAAGTTAAAAAAAAATCAAATGTGATATACATATTAAAAATTCATATTTTGGCCAAAGTAATGGTAGGATGATAATGTTTGGCTTCCTTTTTTTTATTTTTTGTAGCTCTTCTAGAGGATTTGTTTGGTATTATTTAAAGAAAGTAATTCATGTAAGTATAGAGTATCACCTAGTAGTTAATATTTAGACGTGTTGCAATATTTTAACAGTTTTTTTTTTTTAATTGAGACTAATCTTATTTAATATTTATTGATTGTTATAGTGATTGTTTATATTATGTTTTTTTTTTGTTTGTTAAATACTAATTTTTGGTCTATTAGTTAAAGTTAACGGTAAGTAGCAAGAATTTGAAAAAAATAGACGTAAACGGTAGTGTCTAAGAAGTGTAATATTTATTGATATTTTATATAAAATAGTTGTGGAACTGGATAGCTTTACTAAAGTTTTAATGTAGATAATCTACTTGAGATTTCACCTTGTTTGAGAAAGTTGGGAAAATTGAAAATTTGGAAGTCTCAACCAACAAAAATGGAATTTCAAAATTAAAAGTTGAAGAATGAGAAATTGTTAAAAAGACAAACAAATTTCACAGCGTTGAAAGTATGAGTCCTTCTGAAAGTTTCTTCATATAAATCGGGCAATTTTTTTTCCAAATTACATACATACTTATGAAATGAAATGTTAGGCGTAAATAATTATTCCGCCAAAAGTTTAAACTATCATTAGGAGTATTTTAATCATAAACAATCCCAATTTACAGATTTGGTTTAGCTATCCAGAACTTTATAGTTATTTGTCTAGCGATAAAAATCTTTTGTTACATAAAAAAATAGCTCATTTTTATTCTCAAACGTTTTCTTTGAAAAATGCATCAACCGATACCAGTTAAGAAGCTCAAAGTGCTCATTCAGTAATAAAATTATAATCGGTTGATGTAGTTGAATAATTCAAAGGCCATACGTATTTTCCGTTGGTTCTGAGTCCATAATTACTTTTTACCCTCGTCTGTCCATTGGACCACACGGAAATATTCCCGTCCCTTTTTAGAATAAAAACTTTATTTGAACGTGAGCCAAGAGGGTGGACACAAAAATCTACCCGTTTTTAATGTAATCATCCATCCAAATTTATTTAAAAGAATAAGTAAAGGCATTTTCTATTGGATTCGAGGCAGCTAAAATATTGCTGTCTTTCTCATAAATAGTTTTTATTGATATTTAATATTGTTAACTTATTACTTCCACAAATCTGCTTGAAAAAAAAAATGTGGTTAATGTTACTTAATTGTACCTAATATTTTTAATAAAATTGATATTATCCAACGTTTTTTTTTTTTAAATCCCCTTAGTTACATTCCGTAAGAACTCCAATTTAGCATTTATATTTTATTCTATTCAGCTTATTTTTTATATTATAAAAGGAAACATTTTTAGTTTTAAGACAGTTCTACTATAGTAGTTAAATAAACTTTTTTAAAAACGTTCTCTCGTGTACACTCCTTACAAGCTAGAAAAAAACAACAGAAAAATTTAGCAAAAACAATGTTATTATTATTAGCTACAAATGGGTGAAGTAATACAAAGCAAAATGATTAATTTTCATTAAAATATGAAAAAGCGTCAACGGAAAATTGTTCAAAAATAATTGTTCGAAAAAAAATTTTTTGAACGGAAAATTATTCGAACCGAAAATTATTCAAACAGAAAATTGTTCAAACAGAAAATTGTTCAAACGGAAAATTGTTCGAACGGAAAATTGTTCCGAAATAATTGTTCGAAAGAAAATTGTTAGAACGGAAAATTGTTTTTTTTTTCCGAAAAATCAATAGTTTAACTGTGAATTGTGAATGAATCTATGACCGGAGTAACCCAATTCCTTAATTCTTAATATTTGTCCCTGATTCTTAATTCTTGGTTTTTTGAATTTAATATTAATATACAAGGACTAGCATGCATTAGGTAGACGGGTTAATTTCGGATAGTTTGCATATTTTTAATTAGTTCCGTCACGGTTCGTTTAATACTGGACTAGCACGCATTACGTGGACGGGTTAGTTTGCATATTTTTAGTTAGTTACAGTTCATTTAATACTGGTTAGAAGTGTACTGGTTGCCAATAATATTTTGACCTGCGCCCTTTTGTCTACTCGCTTTAAAGCTGCGCTCTTTTGTACCAACGCCGAATTTCCGGTTCCGCGGATCTTCTCTTTGAGATTCGGTGAGCAAAGCAAGTAATCGGATATTGAAAAATAATTGAAATTTCACGCTGTTGTATTTAAAAAAGGTTTCACGTTTTTGGTGGATTTACGTTTCCGAGGCGTATAAGTACATTTATTAACAATTTTCCATTCGAACCATTTTCCATTCGAACAATTTTCCTTTTGAAAAATTTTCATTTCGAAGAATTTTCCGTTCGAACAACTATTTCCGAACAATTTTCCGGGACTCGTGAAAAAGCTTAGAATAAAAATTAATACTATCAATCTTGCATCATAGCGGCAGTTTCTTGAGTCTGAGCAGGCCCTGCTGGTTCCCTGTCCTTCTTCTTAGATCCAGAAACAATATCGTCAATACGCAGCAACAAAATGGCAGTTTCGATGGCCGTCTTGTAAGTTTGAAGTTTGACCGCCAGAGGTTCCCAGAGGCCTCTTTCTTTTTGCTCTACGAGTTCGCCAGATTCGCCGTCAATGCCCCAAGTGCAGGGAGAGTTTACGTCGGTGTGATTGGCGTGTTTCGCTCTGAGCGCAGTGAGAGTTTTGATCGTGTTGGCGCCACAGTTCTGAGCCAGTGTACGAGGAATGATTTCTAATGCGTGTGCCAAAGATCTGTAAGGTCCGTGAGTAGCTTTCTGCAACAATTTTTGGGCTATAGCCATTTCGATTGCGCCTCCACCTGGTACCAGACGAGGCGAAAGCACAATATTTCTGGCTACTTGCAAGGCGTCTTGTAAATTCCTTTCGGTCTCGTTTAAGATATCTTTGCTGGCACCACGCAAAATGATTGTGCAAGCTTTCGGGTTTTTGCACTTGGTGATGTAGCAAAAGTATTCGTCGCCCATTTTTTTGATTTCAAAGAGACCCGCTCCAGTTCCGACGTCGGATTCTTGCAATTCTTCGGTTCTATTTACTATGGTGGCGCCACAGGCGCGAGCGATCCTGTTGTTGTCGGATTTTCTTACTCTACGAATAGCACTGATTCCTGAAAAAAAAAACATATATTTATTTACGTCAAGAAGGAAATATTCGGTATTATTGAATGAATAAGTTAACTAATGAAATCATAGGAACCCTAAAGGAAGGATCCGTAAAAAATTACAATAATCCCAAAAAATAACATTGAATTTAGGAAAAAACCAGTGATAGATTTAGTAAAATTCTTACCTGCTTTCAACAAAAAGTGCTGAGCCAAATCTGAAACCCCCTTTTCGGTAAACACCAAATCCGGTTTGAGGGCTATAACTTCGTCGCATTGCCTCCTGACGTGCTCTTCCTCCAATTGCAACATTCTAGTAAAATCCTAAAAGTGAACAATAATATAAATAAAAAGAGTAAATTACTAATAAATCAACTTACACCATCAGAAGTAATTTCAACATTAGTTTGAGATTCTCCTTTTTTATACTCCAAAGAACAATCGAGCAAAATAATTCTAGGATTCTCAATATAACGTCTCATTTTGGGATGAGTGACATCTTTATTGAGCATAACTCCAGTTAAAACTTCTGATTCTTCAATAGACCCACCGGGAATTTTCTCAACTTTGGCATATCGTTTAATGTCCACCTCAGTTCTACCATTTTCCTCCAGCATCACAGTATGGACGGCGTCCAAAGCGATTTTCACTGCCAAATCGGACCATTTGCCAATGAATTTGGTGCCAACGCAACCTCTGACAACATTGCTAAGAGCGGCTTTGTCGTTTTTGTCAATGGGTACACTCAAAGGTCCTTCGATAAGGGAAATTATGTCTTCGAGGGCTTGACGGTATTGTCTGATGATTACTGTCGGATGAATTTGTTGTTCTAGAAATTGTTCAGCTGCAGCTAACATTTCTCCGGCAAGAACTATGACTGAGGTGGTACCATCACCAACCTGCAATGCAAAAATACATAAATAATTAAGGTCCTAAATACAGAAAGTGCAATCTTATAACTTAAGACTTGAGAGTTAGCTAAGCAATCTATATCCAAAAATAAATTTTTAAGATAACATGTAATGGAGACTGAATCTGTTATTTTTGTAAAATCAAGGAGAGACCAAAGCAGCACAAATACTAAGGAAGATATTAGGCGTAAAGTTAACCCAAAAGGTTTTACATATAAAAGTTTCGCCAAGCCTCCAATGGAACAGTCATTATAGGCAATGAAAATGATAAACACAGTTTCTCTGAAAATCAAGCTAAAAAAGGAGGCAAGGATTATACAATTGAAATTCCTAGCAAGAAAAAAACAAAATTAAAGATTATAAATCTAAGCAGCTCAGATGTTAATCTTGAAGATGATGATGAAGCCATTGTAGGGGAGATTGTAAAATAGAATGAGCTTAATGTGGACAAGAAGTTTTACATGAAGCTACTGAAAAAGGTAGAAAATCGGTTTAAAAAAGTTGATTTAATATTGGAAACTGATCCACGAACACATAGTGTTCCAATTGTCCAAAAAGGGGTAAGAATTGGTTGGTCAAGAGTACCTGTTTTCAATTATGTCAGCATTCTTCAATGTTCTAAATGCATGGGTATTACAATCAGTATGCGAAAGATTGCAAAAGTGAAACCACGGTTTGCTCGAGATGTACAGGAAATTAGGAGATTACACTTATAAGGAATGTAAGTCAGATATAATTACCCGTCCAAATTGTTTAAATAGGAATAAGAAAAACAAAAACGCTCAGTTAGATATGACACATATAGCTTTTGATCTAAAATATCCAATTAGGAATGGTATTATTCAAGAGATAAGTAAAAAAGTGGACTATTTTTATACAGATAGGAGGAACCTATTTGTAATTGTAGCAATTGTAATGGTGAAAAACAATATAAAAATAACCGTTTTATGTTTGGCCAATTTGAACTTAAGGTCAATTTTTACAGGGTTTGCTAAATTTAAAAATCTGGTTCAAACAAATGGATATGACATTACTGGGGTGACTGAAACCTGGTGAAATGGAAACACGTCGTCTGATGTTGTGGCATTAACGGGTTATAACTTCTTAAGGAAGGACCGAGGAGCAGGAAGAGGAGGAGGCATCGGCATCTATGTAACGTCTGAACTGCATTGTGAGTGTATCCTAAAAATATTGACTCTTGCAACACAATATATCCTAGAGTCTCTGCTATATTTTCATAACAACTCTTCAAACTATACTCGTGCCGAAGAAGCCCATAATTGCAATACTCACCAACGTTATAACGTGCCATGCAGATTGACTTTTCACACTTAAAAACCTCCTGGAGTTCAACCCGATATTAAGCACCATCATTTTCCAACAAATTGCCCCTTACAATACGGAATATTCCAATAGAACCATTTAAAAATAAAATCAAGCAATTCTTGTTGAGTAAATACTTTTATTCAATAGAAGAATTTTTGCAATATCGGGTCACAGATTTCGATTTTTAAGTAGTTTTGAATAGTCCTTCACCACAGTTATACCCATCAAGTGATATAGTATATAAGCTCCTTTTAGAATGAATTTTAATTGTAACCTAAATTTAGGATCTTTAAGATTTTGATAATGCTATGAAATTTTGTTTTTAAGTCTGAAATATATTGAACCTATACAATCTATAGGAAAACAACAATGGCACTTGGGGTATTGTATTGTAGGAATAAAATTTTAGAATGTGTAAATGTGATGGATAAGAGCTGAAGGATGTTAAGTTCTTAGGTGTCCATTTGGACCCCGGGCTGCACTGGGACGCCCATACTGATGCCTTGTGCTCTAGACTCGTTTCAAATGTATTTTTGCTGCGTGGTCTAACTCGCTCCGTGTCGCATTCCGTGCTTAAGTAAGCATATTTTTCATTGGTGCATAGCCATATTTCCCATGCTATTATTGCATGGGGTCACAGCGCAGGAGCAACAAAAGTCTTTAGGCTCCAGAGGAGAGCGGTTCGGATATTGGCAAGGTTGTCTTATAGAAAAGATTGTAGGCAGGCTTTTGTGGATAACAATATTCTGACTGTTCTATCTTATGTCTATTCATATATGAGTGCCTTGTGTACATACTTGAGTAGTAACCTGGGGAGTTATCGGTCTCATGTTGACATTCATAATTATGACACTCGTAACAGACATATTATTGGGTGGTATGAATAAAAACGAAGTACTTGCTCATTGCTTGCTACTATAGAATTTTTAATACCTATTTAGAAGTACCAGTCGTTCTAGTGACAAAACGTATGTCACTTCATGAAAATACAAATAAAATTGGGTTAGGAATTTCCTATTTGTACATGAATCTGACGTATTAGCAATCGACATTCGTTTTTGTTGGTAAATTTTTGATTCATCTGATTCGTGATTAATAAATAAGGATGGGGTGATTCTAAATGGGTATTAAAAATACTATACTACAAGTAGTAGTATATTCTACGAAGTATTTACTTCATAACGAAGAATTTACTATTTTCTGGTGGTCTCGAAATGTAGTATCTACTTCATTTTAAAGTAAATACTACGGAGAATATGCTACTACTTGTAGTAGTAGCAGATACTTCATTTTTATTCATACCACCCATTGTCTGGTACCAAATTACCATCGGCTTGAGAGGTGCAAAAGTGATCCCAGCTGTTTCTCAATCCATTTTTTTAACAAGTTACCTGGTTCCTCCAGAAGCCTACCAGAGAAACAGTTGAAGCAAAAAATTAAAGGCTTCCGGTGTAATCAAGGATTTTATAGTTATACAGAGTTTTTAAGTCATGAATTTTAATTTTAATTTTAATGTATAAGAGGTTTGTTGTAATATGTATATTATCTATTCACAATCTGTAGTCCAAAGGTACAGGTAAAATTTATCACCTTACAATGCTATTTGATAGGGAAAGGTGATAAATTTACCTGTACTTTTAAACTACAGATTGTGAATAGGATATAGGTTTTGTTTTTTCTAATGCAGTTTTACCTGTAATAATTGTTTTTTTTCCATAGTTATTGGTAAAGTAGCCTTTATTCTACTAAAAATAGTAGATAAAGTATTACTTTAACCGCAAGGGTAGATTAAATGATACTTTACAGCAAGGATAGATGAAGACTTTTATTTTGTCAAAAATATATATTTTTTTTTTTTTAACGGATATGCGCACTCGCAAGGAAATGTCCTATCACGCTCGAGAAGCGGCAAGTGCGCGGAAATGTCGGTGTATGTTGGTCTTGAAACGGTTCAGGTTGTAACCTGCAGGGAAAACCGTCGCATGGAGTTTATTCCACAGCGATGCTGTTCTCCAGAGATATGAATTCTGATATAATGAGGTTCTTGGTGCCTCTAGTTTGACAGTAAATTCATGGTTACCGTCTGTTTGACGGGTTCGCCTGGTAGGTGCTACTCTCGGTGGAATCATACGTGCCAACTCTTCAGAGCATTTTCCGTGATAGTACCTGTAGAAGAGAGATAAATCGCCCACAGATCTGCGATGTTCGAGACCATCCAAGTTACGAGTAAGTGCGGGGTCATTGATCAGCTTGATAGCTCGTTTTTGTACGGTATTCAAAAGCATTAAGGTATATTTGGGTGCTGCACTCCATATATGTGAGCAGTACTCCATAGTTGGTCGAATCTGGGCTTTGTAGAGTGTCAGCAATTGGCTTGGTGTGTACAGATGTCTTGTACGAAATAGCACCCCCAGCTTTTGGGAGGCCCTTTTAGCAATATCTGCCACGTGACTGTGCCAAGACATGTTGGTCTCTGCAGTAACCCCCAAGATGTTCAACTGACTCTGTAATGTGACAGCACTTCCAGATAGCATGATGTTTGGCTCACCGGTGCTGGTCTTTTTTGAAAACAGAGCTGCTTGGGTTTTCTGCGCGTTGAACTGTACAAGGTTTTTGTTACCCCAGTCCTCTATTATCTCCAGGTCGTTATTTATCTGCAATATTTGAGTTAGTCTAAGATGATGGAATTCACGTGTGGAAAGACCTGTGGGTGGTATGAGTGAGGAGACTACATTGCCATCGTCTGCAAAGCAATAAAGTGGATTTACTGTTTTATCTATGAGGTCATTTATGTAAATCAGGAAAAGAGTTGGCGAAAGGATTGCTCCCTGTGGCACACCAGCATTTATTTGGTAAAAGTTGGAGTTCTGGCCATCCAGTGCAACATAAATGGATCTGTCCTTTAGGTAACTTTCAAACCAAGTGCGAAGTTTCGGCGATAATCCCATTGCTTTGAGCTTGTTGAGCAGATTTTCATGCCAAACTTTGTTGAATGCTTTAGATATATCTAAGGCAATTGTTCTTGTTTCACCCCGCAACTCAATCGCTTTTTGCCATAAGTGAGTGACGTATGTAAGTAAATCGCCAGTTGACCTATATTTTCGAAATCCGTATTGCTTATCGTTGATAATTTTGTACTTTTCCAAGTACTTGGTTAGGTGATTGTTCACAACTCTTTCCATTACTTTTGATATCACCGGAAGTAGAGCAATTGGTCTATAGTTTAACGGAACTGTCTTTTTTCCTTTCTTTGGAATGGGTTGTACTGCGGCAGACTTCCATGATGATGGATATACTCCTTGCCTGTAAGACAAATTGAATAATTTTGCGAAAGTTGGGGTGACTTCGTTGGCGCAATTTTTGAGTACTATTGCGGGAATGCCATCCGGACCCATTGCTTTGTTTGTATCTAGCTTTTTTAGGGATTTTCGTATTTCTCTGTGACAAAAGGGTACCTCTGGCATACTATGGGAAACCCTTTCAATGAACGGTGGAGTTTTTCCGTTTGGCACTGTTAGGTTGGAGTTGGAGGAAAACATTTGGGCAAGCATATTGGCTTTTTCCTCTGATGTTGTGGCTAAGTAATTATTTTTATCTGTAAGTGGTGGTATGGATGACTTGGTGAAGTTAGATCCAACAGCTTTTGCAAGAGACCAAAAAGA